TTTGTTCTGATTCATGCAACCAAATACCTTTCTATTGTTGTTTTGTTGTTTGGTGCCGTCGTGTCGCAGACGACTCATAACGACCCTAAGAACGAACGGCCTGAGCACTGTTTGTACATAGAGTTTTCGGAGGCAAGCCATTTCGGAAGTGGATGCCGCTCCTGCTTCCAGGCTTGATTTAGTCGGGAAGCTCCAGTCAACACTGTCCACCATGGGTGCCCATTACCACGATTGGCACATCACTGTCACAGTCTTCAGCATCACAGCAACCACGAGTTACCTCTGTATAGCAGCGCACAGGCCAGTGCTTTACCACCTAGAAGAATGTTTGACAGGAAGACAATTTGAACCTGGCCGAGGACCGCAGATGAAAATCACCCACCTTCAGCTTGGTAGCATAACTTCCTTTCCACTAGGCCAAAGTAGCTCTCTCTTTGTCGTTGTCGTTGTTGTTGTTATTGTTGTTTGGTGCCGTCAAGTCATAGATGACTCATAGCGACCCTATGAATGAACTGCCTGAGCACTGTTCGTACCTGGAGTTTCCGGAGGTAAGCCATTTAGGAAGCGGATGCCGCTCCTGCTTCCAGGCTTTGTCAATGAAATAGATAGGCATTCTTCTGGTACTCTCTGCTTTCAGTCAAAATTCATCTGACATTGGCAGTGATGTCCCTAGTGTGATGGCTTCTTCTGAACTTAGATTGCATTTTTGGCAGTTCTATGTTGATGTACTGTTCCAGTCACTTTTGGATAACCTTCATCATGATTTTTCTTGCATGAGATACTGTTTGATAAATTCCGTTCTCTCGTGGACCACCTTTTTTTGAAATGGGTATGGATATGGATCTCTTTCAATAGATTGACTAGGTAGTTGTCCTTCAGATTTCCTGGCATAACCTGATGAGCACATCCAGGGCAGTATCTGTTTGTTGAAATATAGCAATTGAAATTCCATAATTTCCTAAGGCCTTGCTTTTTGTCAACTCCTCCAAAGCAGCTTGATAATTTCAGCTTGCTAATTTCAGCTGGCTAGGGTCCACAATCAACACTCTTGCCACCAGCAGTCAAAAAATCAAAAGACAAATTGGATTGGAGAAATTTGCTGTAAGGGACCCTTTCAGAATGTTAAAGAGCAATTATATCAATCTAGAGACTAAGATGTGCCTGACCATGCCATAGTCTTTGTGATTGCTTACTATATATCCAAGAGCTGGACAATGACTAAGGGTGATACAAGAATCAATGTCTTTGAGTTGTAGTGCTGTCAAAGAGCATTGAACATACCATGGACTGCCAAGAGAACAAACACATCTGTCCTAGAGAGAGTGAAACAAAGTTGTTCCTTGGATGCAAGGATTTTGAAGCTCTGTCTCACATACTTTGAGCCTGTTGCCAGGAGGAACCAATCATTGGAGAAGGACCTCATGCTTGGAAGGGTAGAGGGACAGCACATGGGAGGGAGATCAGGGTAAAGGGGGTAGGACTGTCAGATACAGAAAGATTGGCTGAGAATAGGACAGGATTTGGAGCTATTGTGCATAGAGTCTCTATGAGTCTCAGTTGACTCAATGACACATACAACAGCAACAACAACCCTAGTCAGAAATTAGGGAATCATCTGACAAGATTTTTTTAAAATATTTTATTAATTTTAAAGAAAGTTTACAGAGACTTAGGGTTTCCATTCATTCATTGTTGCACTATTCTCCCTGTCCACTCCCTCACCCCCTATTAGTTCTTCTCTTTGAAAAGAAAAATAGAAATTATTTTATTGTTATACAATCCCTCTCCCCAAGTTCACTCCACTGTTCAGCCTTCATTCTGGACTCCTGTTGTGACAAGGACACATATATACCTAATCATATATCCCTTTTAAATAGTTCTCTCCCTCATTTGTTTCAATGCAGTATACATTATTTATCCCTTCTTTCTCAGTCTTCCCTCAACCCCAATGTCAGTTCTGTTTTACAACAGTGGTCCTAAAATACCTCTGTAATCCCTTCTGTTTTCCTTTCTACTGCTTCATTATTATCACTATGACTCCGCTTGACCTCTTAGATATTTTCCCAATGATCTTCAGTCCATCTCTTTCTCAGCCACTTTATATTTTTACATTTGCCCAGTCACTTTCAGAGAGATACATTTAAATGAAATTATGATCTCTTCATGACTGTATAAACCCTAAAAAGAAAAGTAAAAATTTTCTGGACTTCTAAGACTTAACTCAAACTGGATTACCTCCCACCTTTCCTACCTGCTCCTCTCCTCCTGCCCCCCACAATGCCCAGTCATCCCTGTGGACCTCTAGTAGTTCCTTAACTTGATAACTTAATTTCATCTTCTTTAGTCTATTAATAACTAACCTATATATTCTTCAAGACTGTGTTTGTAACCTAACACATCTAGAATAGTATCTGTGATATTCCTGTCAGTTCCTCCTCTTGATACCACTGCATTTCATGTAGTCTGATGCTCTTACCACAGTTGTGTTGTTGTTGTTATATACTGTGGAGTAGGGACTGACTAATAGCTAACCCTCCAGCAAATATTCAGGGACAGTAAATCACACAGAAGATAGCTCATTTTTCTCCCACAGAATAGCTGGTGTATTGAAATTCTGTACTTTGGGGTTGATGGTGAAACTTTACCATTAAGCTACCAGAACACCCTCACAATTGTGTAGTATTACAAAAAGGTAGAACTTTAGAACCTTAGATGAGATCAAAGCCTAACGCAAAGCAGACAGAGTATACTTCGTGATCTGGGATGAGTTATTTAACTCTTCTGACTGACTCTTTATCTTTCTTGTTTGTAGAAGAGTTTATCAGTTTTAAAATTTTTTAAAGTCTATGATTATTTTTCTCCCTGACATTCTATAGGTTTTTGAGCATGAGCCATTATGAGGGTTTTTTTCTCTCCTATCAAATAAGAAGTGCCTTTAGCTTTTATATTTGGTATAAATATGAATATTTACTTAACATATTTTGAGTAAATGAATGCAGATATACATAAATTAACAGTTGAATTAATGTTTTTAAGAAAAAAACTTCGTAATCCACACATATTTTAGTGAAATATGTTGAACATTTAATACATTTAACATGGACATTTTAACAAGTATTACATAATATAAGACTTCAAGTGATACCTTAAAGTTGTATTTGGTCACTCAATCTATTTCTATCTCCTCTCTCCTGGCAAAAGTCTTCTCTTCTATCTGTTGAATCATTACCAATCTCCACACTGCCTTGAACTGCAGCCATAGAGATAGTCATATGACAGATGAAGGAAATCAGATTTGAATCTTATTCACACACAGATATGAACAGAGCCATCTGAGGCTAACTCATACGATAGCAGTGTCCTGAGATAATTCTTTATTTAAGTCCCTGGAATTATCTCACTTACTGCACTGCTATGGGTCTAGGTTTTTATTGATTTCTTCTGTTCTTTGAGATACTCCAGTTAATACCACTTAACACTAAGTGGCATGGTGTGGCAAAATAACATCATTTATTTACAAAGACAGGGCATGTCTATTACAAAGTAGTAACACAAAAATTCATAACAAATATGTATGTTATGTGTGCCAGATAGGTTTTATTTATACTGAAGTAACTTCATGAAAGGAAATCAGAAAATCTTATCAAATATTCTAATTCCAACCATATTTTCTATTTAATTTTCTCTCTCTCTCTCTCTCTGTTTCTTTTTCATTTTTATGAAATTATAAGATGCAATTATACTAAGGAGTTAATTGCTCTCTTAATTGTTAAGGTCCCTGATTGATGATTTAATACCCAAAGTAAGGCCAAGTTTATTCAAAATTCCTTGTGTTTGGGGATTGTTGCCATTTATGGGCTTGAAGAAGAAATTACTGTAAGGGAGCTGAAGCACATTATTTGGATTTACATCATTTCTTATTGAAGCTTTTAAAAAGGAGAAGAATTCATGCTATTTTGCTGCAGAGTGCAGGCTAATGGGGATTTAGGCAGGGGAGGAAGAAAGGAAAACACTTTTCAATAGCTCCAGGCAGCTATGTTGTTTGTTCACCATGTAAGTGACCAAATTTTGTGCTTCACTTGCTACTATTTTTTCTCATTCTCTGCCTTTACTCACAGTAACAAGAAAATAAAAGATTTGATTAAACATAAAGTCTTGATCTATAATTTAAATATGTCATTGGATTGGAAAAGTCAAAAGAAGATAGAAAAAACTGCCAGGTATTATATGTGGAATGAAAGAGTGTATACTATCCTTGCCCATGTGTCTTCCAGTGGGGTAAAATGAAGGTATTAGTAATTAAGATATTATCTAGAATCTTGTTAGGTAATTGCAGTCTTTGTTGGGTTAGAAGTTACTGTGCAGCATACAGACCCTTCCAAATTAATTTTCTACTTCTTAAAGATGATGTAAGACTCTTATTTTAACTAGTTTCTCATTATTGACCTTTATAGCTGATATAACTGGAAAATGAGTGTGGGAAAATGTCTCATTTGTATTTACATCGTAATGAATGACTTTTAATAGTTAATATAAAAATTGTTTTAGATGTCCACAAGAAACTGGAATCATACATTTTTATAAATACACATAGTAATTGTATTTATCCTTTCAGAATCACAAAATGCCACTTGAAATATATGATTTAGTAGTGTAAATGAAAAATGAAATATAGATGATGGTCAAAGATTAATTTTCTCATATTTTGAAATATGTTGATAATATAAAGCTTCTAAGTGAGAGTGTTAATTAGAAACATGCAATTAGAGACTGCATAAATAAATAAAGAAGAGAAACGCAGATCAAGACAAATGTTCAGAAAGTACTACTCTGGTTCAAATTTTTCTGTTGGGATGTCTTTAAAGACTATATTGATATTTAATATCTAGATCATTTGTTGCTTTTGTCCTTCACTGACCTACACATACATAATTTACAAGCATACTGATTTCAATCACAATTTTTTTAACAGATGCACAAGAGTTGATTCTTCCATGAAAATGAGAAATCACACCATGGTGACAGAATTCATCCTCCTGGGAATCCCTGAGGCAAAGGGATTGGAGACAGTTCTTTTTTTTCTGTTTTTATCATTATACTTATGCACCCTGTTGGGAAATGTGCTCATCTTCACAGCTATCCTCTCTTTCTCTAGGCTTCATACCCCTGTGTATTTTTTCTTGGGGAACCTCTCCATATTTGACATGGGTTTCTCATCCACTAATGTTCCCAAGATGCTAGTCTACCTTTCAGGGCAGAGCCAACTTATCTCTTTTCAGGGTTGTGCATCTCAGCTGTTTTTCTACCACTTCTTGGGGTGCACAGAATGTTTCCTCTACACTGTGATGGCCTATGATCGCTATGTGGCCATATGTCACCCTTTGAGATACATGGTCATCATGAATCACAAAGTCTGTTTCATTTTAGCCACAGGGACCTGGATGGGTGGATGCATCCATGCCACTATCCTAACCTCTCTCACTTTTCAGTTACCCTATTGCGACTCTAATGAAGTGGGCTACTACTTCTGTGACATCCCAGTCATCTTGCCCCTAGCCTGTGGAGATACATCTCTAGCTCAGAGGGTAAGCTTTACAAATGTTGGTGTTTTGGCTCTTATTTGTTTTTCCCTCATCCTTGTCTCTTACACTCGAATTGGAATTTCTATTTCAAAAATCCGCTCATTGGAGGGCAGGCAACGAGCATTATCCACCTGTAGTGCCCACATCACTGCCATCCTTTGTGCTTATGGCCCAGTGATCATCATCTATGTACAGTCTGATCCCAGCCCCTTGCTTGGTGCTATAATCCCAATATTGAATAATCTTGTAGCTCCTATGTTGAATCCATTGATCTATAGTCTTAGGAATAAAGATGTAAAATTCGCTCTCAGGAGTATGTTTTCTAAAAGCTTTGACTTAGAGAAAAAAAATGATAAAATCTTAAACTTTACTAGGCAAAGACCAATTCTCAATTACTGAAGACAAATTCTCATCTAGATTTCTCAAGGTATGTTGGTGTGAAATGCACTTTAAATCAGTTCACTATTCATATTTGATAAGTTTTAAATCATCCATCTATTTTTGTATAGTCTTTTGTTTTATTATGGAATTAAAAGCTTAAGAATTACTTAGCAGACATTGAATTTGTGCTTCTGTGGGATATTCTCCAAGCACCACCATTTCCCAAACACAGTCATTAATTTTTGAAATCTTAGTAAAAGTTAAGGAAGTGTGCTTGTTATCTCAGAGTCTCATTTGATCTATAGACTCAACAGCACATAACAAAACAAATTATATATATATATAAAATTAATGAAATCCTAGATTAAAACAAGACATCAATGCTCTAGCCCCTTACTTTTGGAGAATATAATATATTTTCTGTTAGTCAATGCAAAACTCAAACTGACTCAATATTCAAAGTAAGATTCTTCTAGTGTACAGACTATCTTTTCATTCATTTGGAATTTAAATGCTTCTTGGAATACCAGTCCCCAAAGGGCTAAATTCCAAGATGTTGAGAAGAAAAATGATAAATTTAACCTATAAAAATAGGTTAATTTTTATAACACATTCCTATTCTTACTTTCCTCACTTTTTTTCCACTCTTGATAAGTTTTACTAACATGTTTTTGTGCCTTTTCTTGATAGCTATTAAGGCACTTGAAAAAAATCAGAGAAAAATTATTTATTAAAACCAGAAATATTTATAAGCTATATTTCTATGTAAACCCGAATGATTCATAATGGAATGTGTTATCTACATTCTCTTAGTTTCAATGATTGTCAATTTATTTAAGTTACTGGAAAACAAGTTTTGTGTGGAAATTACAAAGTGTCACATTAGATTACAGAATGATAATTTAAGTGGATTCTAGTTACAGAAGATAGCTTATCTGAGCTTTTTCATTTGATGTTTAAGACTCCCTAGTGTTCAGAGTTATTTATTATTATTATTATTATTAAATTTTATTAGTTTTAATGAACATTTACAGAGATTTTGGGTTTTCATTCATTCATTGTTGCACTGTTTTCTC